TGATGGTTTTATTTTGCATCTAGTATATATTTTACAGTTACTCAAAATTTTCAAATTTAAGAGCACTCATAAATATTCAGCAAATTAGCTGAAAAGATTTAGGTGTTAGATCCTAGATGTCATCTGGCATCTTCAAAAGGAAATATTTACATTTAAAGATGCCTAATATTTGAGTATTCTAAATGACAGTCTAAGCTAAATGTCCAGATATTTCAGTTAACCTGCTATTGAGTGAGTGTGTGTATGATTTGTTGCTTATTTTTCTGCTGTGTTTTTTATATAGAGTGTATTTGGCATAAATTTTTCATTTAAATAAGTTTTGTTACAGACCAACAAAAATTCTTTGTTAAATATTTTTAAATTTATTTTTCTTTACTTCAGATTATTTTCTTGCTTTCTGGTACATATTCAAATATAAATTTTCCAATGACTACTTTCACCTATTGTTAGCTATTATCAGAGACTTTGGTTTTATGCAGTTTCTATATTTTCAGATATCACATCATTAAGAAATTTTTTGTAATACCTATTTTATATCTGAGAAACTCTTGCCACCTTAATTTTACTAGTCAATGTCTTCCCAGATATAAAAAAGGAGTTATAAACAATTTCCTCTTGGGAACACATGAGAATTCATCCTCTCATCTGCTTTTTTTTTAAGGAATTTAATGTGAAACAAATGCGAGTTAGTAATGGTGTTCTAAATCAACTCTTAGATCACCAAATTAGACTTTTTCTTTCTAAGGTAACCAATAGCAACAATGAAAATACAGAAAAACAATAACATTAACATTTTCTATAAAAATAAAATGGTAACTGTAAGCAAAATGAATCTTTTCTTAGAAACATTATAAAGAAATACAATTCTCCAGTTAACAAAAACAAGAAAATTAAATTATCTACTATAAAAAATTTTAAACTTAACCTCATTGTCAATAATAACTCACCTGCAACATCCAAATTACATAGAACTAATATTTACAAATTCACATGTCCCTTAAGGAACTGTTTTCCTGATCAATCTAAATTCATAATTATATTTAACACACTACAACATGCCTAACAAGACGACTTGCATTACATCTCTCTCACAATAACTCAATTAGGTTTCATTTAAATACACATGTAGACCTATCAAACTATTTGCAACACACTTACTGATAAAACAAATATGATAGCCTCATCCACATGTAATTTTTTTAAAATAATGGAAGCATTATTAATAAAAAAAGAAAAAGCCAACACTAAATATCAACTACGAACACAGCCACAATGTGCTGACAATGTTTGGAAAATAAAACATTCCTATAACTATAGATACATACATAAAACAATCCATACATTCAGTTAAAATTAAAAATAAAATCCTCGATAATGGCTAAAAGTATAGCCAAAGCACACAGACATACAAAACATTTGAACAATTCCTACATAATTTACATCCAGTAAAGAAGAAAATTATAAGAACACAAGAAAAATTAAATGAAAAAAAAACTTAACCACTGTATCCTGTCAGTCATTTTTAATGAAACTTGTATAAAAGAGGGATTGTTGCCCAAATACACAATATATGGGCATTTTGTGAAGTCTATTTTATATATCCCTGCCACTGTTTTGTTGTTGCTATCTCATTTGATGCTAACTATATCTCTTATTGTTTTAGGTGGTGTTGATGAATTTTATGTCCAGGTTCGATAAATTTTTTTCAATAATGGCTGTTATGGAGCTGGTAGGTAGGATTACCTGTTCAATTTTGTTATAGCTGTTGGGATTATTATTATTATTTGTGGAGTTTTGTATTTTACTACTGCAGATTCTGTAAGCTTTGCATTTACCATTATGTAGGAAATAATTTGGGTATTGGAGGAGTTTGAACATGTTTTTGATATATTTCTCTGGTCCATGCAGAATTGACACAAAAAAAATCCATCAACACCACCTCTAAAACAATAAGTGATATAGTTAATGTCAAACATGATGACAACACTATATATATATATATATATATATATATATATATATATATATATATATATATATATATATATATATATATATATATAGTGCATGTCATTTTCTTTGTGCAATAAGTTTTACAATATAATTAGTCTTTCCCCTCTCCACCAATTAGTTTATAGTGAACCATTGTTTTAATTTATTAGGTTATTGTCTCATGATACGGACAGAATTCTGAATGCAAATAATGATAACTTCACATCCCAGAAATTCAGATAAAAATTATGGTATTAGTAACCAAAGTATTTATAAATACAATATCAGGAAGAAATTTTATCTGGAAAAGCACAAAGAATCATTTACCCAATACTTTTGTTTAAAAAGAAAGGCAGATAAGAAGAAAAAGAAGGGGGTAAAAAAGGAAGTGGGGAGAATAAGAAATGGGAGGGGAAGAAATTGATAGTGTGGGTGGATGCCAAAATTAATTCTAAATAACAACATCAAGAGCACAATACCAATTGATTATCTACTCAAGGTACCTACCAAATCCAGCTCCTCCAAATCCAAAATTTGTGTTACCTTGCAATGCAGCACAGGAGAAAGAAAGGAAGAGAACGAGAGAGAGAAAAGAAAAAGAAAGGGAGAGAGAAAAAGAAAAAAGAAAAGTAATGCTTAACCAAAGAGTGCCACAATTTTGAAGGAAGATAAAGAAAAACAAACTAGTAGTTAATATGGTTTCATATAATAAACTAAAGGGAACATTTTTTTTAAAAAAACATTTCTCATCAATAACTTCATGAATTACATTTCAATTTCAATATATTTGTAAATAAGAAGCACTGTCTGCGTGTAACTTTGTATGTATAGATGCACATGCATATAATTGTGTTGTGCATGATTTACTTGCTTGTGCCATTTAATGTGTTTACACAAGCACATACATATGCATACACAATTTGACAGTTTGAAATAATATATTCTTCTTCTACTCTAACCTGGGCTGAGCAATAAAATAAAAATTTTTTTTTTTTTTTTTTTTTTAAATCTTGTAAAAATATTTTAGGTCTATCATTGAATTAAGTTATACATGTGCACACACAAATATATGCACACACACACACACACGCACACAATTTGAATAAAATTGTAATGGACATCTTTGTCAGGGGGAGCTGATTTCCCTTTATGTTTGGCAACAATACCAGGGTAATGGAAAAAACATACATGCACAAATGTGCAGCCCTTTGAAGTCATAAAATTGACTTTTAAACTGAATATATTTCTATTAAAAATGTAGTATTTTAAGACAACAAACAATTTAGATTTAAAATTAAATCATTTTGCTATCAGTAAAGTAACGGGTACTGAATTAGTTTAAACACATTTCAGAAATATTTCAAGTCTGATCAATTTCTGTTAATTTATATATTTATTCTTGAATAAATAAAAATATACACAGTATTTCAAACTTATTCCAAACCCTGTAGTGCTACAGACACATTAACAGCTCACTTAATTTATGATATTTTAGAATAACAATATACAAACTGGTTCTACATCTCAAAAACTCTGAAAATGAAATTTGATAAAGGCTGGATAGAGCCTGTGTGATCACTAAACACACAAAACATGAAAATCTATACACTTATTTATATGGTATAGGTAATTTATCATGTGAAAATCTTTGCTCATCAGCATTCCTAAATATGTTGATGCCAAAATAATTTATGTGGTTTTGATGAGGATTTTTTTAAATTTCTTGTAACCGCACTGTGAGTCCTCTCAGCATTTCACTGACCCGACATGTACCCCATGTTGTATCACTATTCTCATTTTGCATTGTTGTGCACAAAAACTAGGAAAGGTCCACTGCACATTCACAAAAAAAATAAAAGGCAGTAATTAACACCACAGTGAGAAATGAAAACTGAAACTAACACTCCAGTAAGAAATGAAAACTCAAACCTTGTTTCCAATATATTTGATTGTTTATTCAGGTATTCACTTGCAGTCATGACAGATTATGGATCAGCTTTTCCCTTCAACAAGAACTGACTCTCCTACCATCTCTCTGCCCACCTTTACATCATGACATGTAGCTGGCAACTCTAACAGGCAGCATCAGAACTACCTCAAAAAAACAGCCCCACTCCACACAATAGGTGGTCCACAACTAGCCTCAATTTTACCTGAATGTTTATATCAGCCTGCTAATGGAAATTTGTAACTTTCGACCAAGTGCCAAAAACTTAGAAATCATTGTTGCTAATTGGTATTTCTTAATATGGAATAGATTTAACATTTGATTATACAAGATAGACAGTTTGGCATTTTGGTTACAAATGTGGAGTACCCAATAAGAATGAAATTCTTTACAGTTCAAATACTCTGCAAGATGAATTTGCTAACCATTGAGCCAAAGTGAGAACCAAGCTTTGTCTGGTACAAAGCTTGGTAATATAGGGCACAAGTGCAGATCAAACTCATGACAACAGCAACAATCTGCAAAACAACTATAAGCCATCAAGAACAAATAATGTTAACATGTTACATGTAATCTTTGAAATATTCCAACCAGAGGAATTGAATTTAAAAAAAAGACTAATTGAACCTTGTCTTGCTGTGAAGTCATGTGACCGAGTGGGCTAGAGCATACCAGGTAGGTTATTTCACCCTATATTAGGACAACGTACGTTTGAACCCTGTCAAAGGGCACTTTTTCTTTATTAAAAGGTGCTCAAATACCGAGAACAGTAGATGTCAATTACACTCTTTAAAAAACCAGGGATGCCTACTTAAATGTGTACCAACTAAATATCATATAGTAATAAGAAATATGATCTTAAATATGAACCTTACTTTTTGAACTTGTGTTCGTACCATAATCAATGCTTAAAATTTTAATAAGCTACCTTAAATACACTTGAGGAAAAAAAAATCCATTTCCAGTGAAGGTTTTTGCCTAAACTTAATTTGAAACAAAGGGAAAATATATTTCTTTTAAAAAATTATTCCATTACGAAATTGTTGGCATAGATACTTACCAAATCCAGGTGTACTTGTGTTAGCTCCAAAAGGGAACGATGTTGAAGTTTGTGGTTTAGTGAAAAGACTGTTTCCAGTATTTTGCCCAAATGTAAAGGAATTTGTGCTTGGTGTATTGAAGTTCATAGATTTGTTTCCAAACAATCCTGGTGTCTGAAAAATTAAGTTATTTTCAATTTTCTTTGAATGTAGCAAAGAACTACATAATAAAATAAAAGGTTTTTCAGAAATTAAACGTAAAAAGCCTTATAAATACAATTTTCCAATAATGCAAAGTAAAAGAAAAACATTTAACTGTCATCAGATGTTGAGCATAGAACAAATTTAAATTTTGTGATTCAAAACTATAAAATGTGTACATAATTAAACATTCTAACTAAAATAATGTAAATAATCAGTCAATTTACATCATAATTATAAATAACTGTTGGTGATATTTACAGAGTTTATCTGACTCAGTTTTTATAAAAAAAAAAAAATATATTATGAACCATGAAACCCACAGGATAATTAAACATTGCCACAAATTTAGTATAAATTGGGTTTAATATTTGCTTTTTCTCAGGTATGTCCATGAAAATCATTGTAAATGGCCATTCCTTTTGAAGCCCATAAAATCAATGTAGGCATCCCCAAGACTCACTACCATCTTTCTGTTTTTTACTAACAATCTGCCTAGGAACATTCTCAGATCATTAGTAAGCATATATACTGATGATACTGTAATGGGATACAAAAATCTGTGTGTGTGTGCACTGTGAGTAAAGTTGTGGATTTGTGTAGACTGGCGTAAATGGCTGGACTCTACTGACGACTTGCGAGAAAGTTGGTAAGAGTTGTTGGCAATGATCTTTAACATCTGACCGCACGGTTAAGATGGGAGCTCTTGAAGATTACATCTTGGCAGCAAGGAAAAAGATGAAGAGAACACGAGAGAGGCTTATTCATGTTTTGTTTATATAAGGCTGTATCCCACATGACAGGCTCCAGCCTTGTTCACGGGAAAATTATTCCTCACATGCAGGCGATTTGAGTGGTTGGAATTGACCAATCAGCAAGCTAGTTTTGAGGAGATTAGCCAATGAATGCTTGCCGTATGATCTGTATGTATGTGTGATGGCAATGATGATTGCTACAATACCACAGTTTATAGAAGCACCTCCAAAAATTGAGATTGTTCTGGGCCTGACAACAGATCTCTTTGCTGACCAAGCAGAAACAGCTCAATTTTGGGGGAGAAAAAAAAAAAAAAAAAAAGGCTGTAAGACAAAGCCAATATCATTTCATCATCACTAATTGAACCTTGAGTTTTCTCTTTTCAGAAATGAAAGGATGCGCTATCACTTTGTTGATTGTTATTTCCAATGGTAAATGTTCAAATGAGCTCCATTCTTTAGTTTCACTAAATCAGACCATTACAGCTTGGAGTTCCACACAGACAATAATATTTGGTAATAATTTATATTTTTTTTTAAAGTTGGTCAAAAGATATAGTGGATTGAACTTTTATTAATTTATTGACTAAATATAAATGTTGAAAGCAGTTGATTAATATTGTTGTTTTTGAAAAATAGCAGTTGGCAAAAAGTGCTCAATGTAACAAAAGATTAAAATAAAAGAAAAAGTATAAAAAGATAAGTAAAAAAAGAAAAAAAAAGTAAGTAAAAAAAGGCATTTCTTCACCAGCTACTACAGTTACAGCCCAATGGGCTCAAGAGGCATTGAACAAAGTTAAAATCATCAATCAGCATCTTTGTCCAATCATGAGGATTGATATGTTATGATACACTACAAATTTCTGGTCAGAATATACAAATTTAGAGTAGACTGAAAGATGACGAGACTGATTTTGATATCAAACCAATTTGCAAATTAGTGAATATATCAAAAAAGGAAACAGGTGTAGGTAAAATTGCAGTATCTGACAAGGGCATTATATTGTGAATTGGCATTAAAGTTAACCAGTACCATCAGGCAACTGTCAATAACTAATAAATTGCTAAGTATGGCTATCAAAATTGCCAGCTAACAAGATTAAGTCTGCACCCTTGAACAGTGTTGTAAATCCATTATGCATGAAAGCATGATTGAAGGAGGAGATGAGCAAATAAAATTTTTTATGTACCTACTGGATCATTTGGTAGGGCAGAAATAACTTATAAGACTACTACTATTAGAAAAATGTGGGTAAAATTGTGGATATGGATGACAATAGTCTATATCAAATGACTGACTCACAATAACAAAAAGTAATAGCTGAAGAAAAATTGATGTAGTGAGGAGAAGCTATTGTATATATTCAAAGAATTAGGGTTAAATACAGAAGTAGAAACCAATTTAAACAGTAAGTACATCAATAAAACTTGACCTCAATATTGGTATGGTTACTCCATTTAGAAAATGAAATAGTGAATTATATCAATATTAGTTCTAACCATCCCTGATACATTGGCCAAATCAGCAACAGCACAGCACAGTACACTTCCTCTACCACAAATAGATTTCACAATATTAAAAAAAGAAGTGGTTTAAAATATAAAGAACAGTAAAAGATGTAAAAATTATAAAAGCTAGAAGAGATATAGTTCGGTTTGCACAACACTTTAATCTCAGAGTAAAAACAAAAATTGGTAAAAACATTTGTTATATTGAAAACACACTTCCCTGAAGATTGTAAGACACATTGAATTTTTAATAAAAAATACTCTTAAAATTAGTTGCATATCTAACATTGAAAAAATAATCAAAAGACACAACAGAAGAATTTTGAATGATAATTTATCTTAAAGTGGTAATAATTGCAATTTCAAAATATTAGGAGATTGTTCTATCAGTGGTGATTGAGAAACTAGAATATAGTCTGTAGGACTATTGTGAAGTTCAACGGCCTCCTGGACAAGATCTATATCAATTCCACTCAAATCGAAAACAATAACAATACACAAAATAAAAAATAAGAAAAAACAAAAAAATTAATCCAAATAAATAAACTGCTCCCACTAAAATAACCGTTAGAATAAATAAAAATAAAAAATAAGCTAAAATAATCAATCCAAATAAATAAAATAAACAAATTAAAAAACTTCCCTCCATCAAAATAATATAGACTACTGCAATCAATCCAAAAATTGGACGAAAAAATAGCTTTAATTACCTTCCCAAATCAAAACAAACTACTAAATAAACAATCTGAACTAATCTCAAAAATTTCTTACATTACTAAAACATCGAAAACTGAAAAAAAAAAAATATAAAATAACAATAAATAAAAAACAGGTAAAATAAATTAAATAAACAAACCACTCCCGCCAAAATAATCATCAGAATAGACTACCCACAATGCACCACTGACCCATATATATATATATATATATATATATATATATATATATAGTCAAGAAAAAAAAAAACACGTTAACCTGACGATTGCATCTAACATGAAACAAAATGCTCACTTTTATATTTACATACACTATCTCTGATATTGAGCACTTTATACCATAAATATAGCACACCTTAAAAGATTATATATATATATATATATATATATATATATATATATATATATATATATATATATATATATTTGCTATATATAAGTCACACCAGTAAATGATTGAAGTCACTGTTAGTAAAATTGTATAATAAAAAAGATAAGGAGGAACAGCTAAAAATTGCATTTATGGAAGAAAAACTCAAATTTGGTGTGTCTAAGATAAACAGATGCCATTTTTGACAAATTATTATATATACAACAGGCTAAATGGATAACTAAATTAAATGCAAACATTGGTATCAAAAATAATTGCAAATCAAATTACCGTTGAATTGGTGCCAAAACCCGTTGCACTTGCACCAAATGTTGCTGTATTTGTGGTCCCAAACAAGTTTGATTGTGATGTGGTATTTCCAAATAATCCCTACAAAATGAACAGAAAGTTTGTTTTTTTCTTTTTATTATTTTAACAGCATAAAATAATATGAGAAAACTGACACAAAGCAAAAACAAAGTTCACTTCATATTGAATGAGGATGATATAAAATTAATTTCTGTTTTGAAGAATCAATTATAATGACAAATGTGTCATCCTAACTAACCATTCCTTAGATATATCATAACAGGTGATGAAAATGGTCACAGTGGATTTTACAAAGATAAATTTCCACAACCAACCCCAAAATCTGAACTACGTGAAAGAAAGGTAATATTGCGTGTGTGGTCGGATTGTTAAAGTATTATTCATAGAAGTTCTTAAAATAAAATGAAACACTAAATGCAGCTGCAATGTGTTCATAAAAGTTTGGTCAAACAGCACCCTGTGCTTGACAGTAGAAAAAAAAATGTTCTTCCCTTATGAAAATGCAAAGCTGCATATATTAAGTATAATAAAGGGGGGAAAAAAACAAAAAAAACAAACAACTTTAAAACTGAATTGATCTGTTCTCTTCCACCTGGCATATTAACCTGGCCTTGGGCCAACTGATTATATTTTTCAACCACTACAAAACACTTTGATAGAAAAAAGCTTTCTCTAATGAGAACCAGATTCAAGAGTTCTAAAACTTTTGCACATGAAAACCGTCTGAATTTTATTAAAAAGATATTGACAAGCTGCCAGATAAAAGAAAACAAGTCAATGCAAATAATGCCAAATATATAAATATATAATTAAATGAAATTTCACAATATTTTATTTTTCAAGGAATGAAGTTGATAAACAAATCAAAATTATTTCTGACTCAACTTAATAAATACAAAAGAATTGCCAAAAATAAGAATGGTGTATCTAATTTGTATATTTTAAAATTTTTCAGGTTAATAATAATAATGATGAAAGAACAAATTTCAACAATCACTTGCTTTTTGTTCTGGGTTAAAATTTTACTCATACTAAACAATTATCTCTGACATCAAACTATGCAGGCCACTCAATGTGTAGGGATTGAGGTTCTCACCAGTTAAGAGATCAGTAAGAACAGCAAATTTGATCAACAGTGGGCTATGGGACTAAACTACAGACAGTATATCCAGAGAGATGATGTGATGGAATCACTGGCTTCAGAGCTTCTCCACTGAAATCAACAGCCAGGTCAGTGGGTTACCCTCAGTGGAATCAACAGATACATGACTGTGACCAAGACAAGTTGGAGGACATTGGCTGTGGTCTGACTGTTAAGAGATGGGCTCCACCAGGTTTACTTGGACAAAGACATGTTACAAATTAATTAACACCTACAAAGTCATTTGGACACTGGTCAGATGCTTAGTGACTATAACCACACCTGGTCATGTGACTGATAATGAAGATGACAAAACAAATACAAGTTTAATAAAAAGGAATCCAATTATTCTGTGATTACTGTAAGTTAAAAACAAAACTTGGCTGGAACAGACAGGTATCAGTATTTACAGATTAAGGACACTGGGATTACAAATCAGATAACAAATATCTTACCTTGTTCTGTTGTTGATTTGCCCCAAACAAGGAACCAGTATTTGTGTTTGTACCAAAAGTAAAGCTTGAGGAATCTGATTGGTTTGCGAATAAGGGCTTACTTGGTTGGCCAAATAAACCAGAACTGGTCAATGGGGCTCGTGGCTGACCAAATATACTGGTATTACTGCGTGCATTCCCGAAGCCAGCTGCAAAAAGATTTTTTTAATAATAAAGAGACATGATATTAAAGAAAAAAAAAATCCTATGCAACAGGTTTCATTCTTCAAAAGGACTTTTGCAAATGAACTAATGTTTTTTATTGATGGAATCTATATACATAAAGTTGTAGCTTCTGTCTGATCAGACTCAGCCTAGGGTTTTGGAGATAGACCCCCAGAAACATATTATGAAAAAACATTACCCTGGGTACTTGGATAAGTACATTTCATTTTGATCAAAGGGGATCTCAGGGGGGAATAAACCCTCCAATTAATTTTTTTTTCACTTTGATTTAAATTAAATATAAATTTAAACAAGTTAATGACTCCTATCCAAAATACAGAATGAAAAAGCCAGAAGATGGAGGTCACATCAGCAAGATCAAAATGAGACAATATGTACGTCAAATTGAGCAAGAAATCACCAGTGGGTAGTGCCTTACAATACATAGTTGTTGCCACAATTCAAATGTCATATCAATGTTGAAATCTGCTCATCAATTCAATCAGGTATTGCATCAAATACATATCAAATGGGTCAGATCAAGCAGTTTTTGCACAAAGCCCTCACTGAAAATGTTTTTCCCTTTGATTTAAATTTGAACAAGGAAATGACTCCTATCCAAAACAGGAGAAAGCCAGAAGATGAAGGTCGCATCAACAAGGTCATTGAGTAATATTAAAATGCATCAGTTTTCTCCACAAATCATAACAATGATTTAAAATCAGTCATCATTTTCTTACAAAAAAAAAAAAAAAAAAAAAAAAAAGGCACGGGTAATTCGGCTAGTCATATATAAATAGATAAGTTGATTATAATTTAACATCAAGAGAAACATTGAAGATGCAAGACTAACTTTAAATTTCTGGCATCCGATACCTAGATGTACACCCTAGATGACTGGTTTCATTCAGCTGGTTACTGCTTTTGTTTTTAATTGCTGTTTTATTTAAACACCCCAATTTGTACTAGGTAAAATGTATGAACCTGGATGAAAATTTATCATTGAATACTCAGAAATATATATATATATATTTATATTTCATTAAAACAGACAGACAAGGTACTGCAATTAAGCATTTTATTTAATTTTTCTTGTGTCCAAACAAGTGTTTTCTTTTCTGGATGCAAACAGATCTTTTGTTGACACATTTCCTTTTTTGTATAAATTTTGCATAAAGTCAAAGAAGCTATAAAGCTCCTCTGAAGCACTACTGGTGGCTATTACAGGTATTTGTTCATGTTGGTGCTTAGGGTGCTCTGGCCAGGTGTTGGAGAGACAGTTGGGGTGGGTTTGGGCCTAACAAATGAATACAACTTTAATTGCTTTCCACACTTATACGGTTTGCAAATTATTAATTCTCTTAATGTGCGGAGGTGTTGATAATAAGCTTGAATGGAAGGATTATCTGTTGTATCAACAATTGTAAGAGAGTGTCAATGGAATCTCATACATGAGCCATTTTGGGTTTCACTATCACCTCTGCCTGAGTCACTGGAACTCTGAAGTGAATCATAACCAGCCAGAACTGATTCTGCTATTTCCTCCACAGAAAGAACTTGGTTAACTGATGTTGAATGCACCACTTGTACACCACTTCTTCCAGTTCCTTGTAACTTTGTTTCTTTACACCATACTCCTTGCACACTTTTGCAGCCTCTAACTTCCTGAGAAACTAATTTATCACTGATACTTAAGTTTGTACACTTCCTTTTTACACTTCCCTTTTGCTTCAATGCCATGAAGAGGGCAGAACAATATATCAATCAAAATTAGATCTCTCACAGCGACTTTCTCATGTATGCGCTAATGTATTGTACTTTATATACTGAACACCCGTCTTTAGATTTGAAAGGCCTGCCACCACTGCCAAGTGGTTACTTTGAGAACTAATAAGACTTGTTCTGCTAATCTCATTACAATGACTAATATGCACTGAGTGTATTGTGCAAATGTTCTATTTTGGTGTTCATATATTTAATTTAAAGTTCCACCTATGTATTTCTTGTGGTATTTATTACAGTAATTTAAGGAAAAAAATGTATAAAAAGTGCATTAATTTCTGAGTCTTCAACAGTAAATTTACATTTAATTAAAACAAAGGTAGTAGGCTGCTACCTACATACATTGGACAGCAAAGATCAAAATTGTCTCCTGACATCTTGAGACTTTCTCTCAATGTTAAATTCCTCCTATATATCTGATCCCATTAATAAAAGCCATATTTCGTCTGAAGACGTTTTGAAGGACAAAACACATTAAATAGTACATTTTTGTCATTCAATTGAGCATCTTTAGTCTGATATATAAAAAATTGTGATACAGAACAATATTTAAAGAATTTGTTAAAGTATAGATACCTGCCATTTATATCAAACTAATGTTTAGGAAAATGTATTTAATAACTTTATCTGGATTCCCAGATTGGCCTCCTTTTGAAAACCCAGTGTGACTACTGAGCTGATTTTCATATTCTTCTGTGCCATGATACTTCAGGATGTGGGTGAATCCTGATCTTTTGTAGTTCTCAGCAATATTTTTCCTTATCCTTCCCTGTTCTATCTATTTACCCAAGTTCATCAGATAGCTTACTTGCCGTTTCCCCACTCATCTTCAATATCCTGTATGTGACAAATTTTCCAAGCCATCTTTCCTCATTACATATTCCAGAAATTTCAACTATTTCTGAGTAAGTATAAATATCCTTTTTGTTTTCAATTTTCTTAAAACTTCCTTATTGTTTACATGTCCTGCCCATGGTATTCTCAGCCTCCTCTTGTTGAACCACATCTGTTGCCTCAAGTATCCTCTTCAACCTATGGAGGAAAGTGTCCAGCATTCACTGCCATGCAAAAGGATTGATATTACATAGTTCAGCACTATTTTCTAATAAATATTTTCTATTTCTTTGTTTAGTTATTGGAAAGCATCTTTTGCCATTCCAATGCACAATTTTCTTCATTATATTTTTTATCATCTGTTATAAGACTTTTGATACTTAAATTTTTGTACTTATTTGATTCTGATATCTCTCTATGTAGCTTACATTTTGGACTGTTCCTTTTGCTAATGACAGTGTTCTATCATGTTACAAATAATGATTAGTCTTCTCGCTTTCCTTTACTACTTTGTCTTACAGATTTTGCAGTTTTCTTTCTGTGTCTTATGTTAAGATTGTGCCCACCAATAATAAAATCCTAGAACTTCTAATTTATTTTAGGATTGCTTCACTGTATAGATTAAGTAAATCTGGTGAGAAAATATATACTTTTCTTACACCTCCTTTCTATTTTTGTTTAGATTATTCATTTTCTGTTCATTTATTTGCACCTGGCTTCTTAGGTGATGCTATGAAGATGGATCTACTTAGTATCTAAGCATGTTGCTAGTATAATATATTTCATCTTATTTCCACAATTTTGTCAAGTACACAATTGTCCAACATTGATAGCATCTATTACAATCTCATCTGGTTCTGCTGTTTTGTTCCAGTTCATCTCAGCCAATGCTGATCTAACTTTATTATCCCAGGTCCTTCCATGTTTTTGTGTATTGTCAGTTTCTGTCTTATCATGGAAAGTCTGAACTGCAAGAAGTTAAATTAAAAACTGACAAGTCCCAGGCTCCCAAATAAGTCTAATCTGGCAACCCCGAACAATTTCCTGCACCTAGATGACCACTTCTATTTTACTCTTATTAAATAGTGAGGTACTTAAGATTAAATTAGAGGTTATCAAACTAATTTAGCATATTAGTACTGCTGTGCATCAAAAGTTGATATTCACTGAGTGTACCAGACTTATGGCCTTGCACCAGACTAAATTAATACTATGTAAAACTATAAACAACAACAAAAAAAAAAGACTTCTAATCTGAAACAATCGTCTATGCACCATGTGCATTCATTCTTGCAATTAATGCTTAGTCCTTTCTTTTCACTTTCCTTTACTGACTTATCAAGGTGTTCCTACCATCAACATAGTATCAAAAAATATATTTTTAAATTACCAATAAAACAAAGATTTATTAAGGTCAAGCAAATCTGGTACAACCATGATGGGTTATGGGGCATAATTATAGAAGTGAACCAAGAAGTTTATTTCATATCAAATCAAAACCTTTTGGGTAAAATTGAAGTTTATTATTTCAATAGACTGAAAAAATAAGCTTTTATCAGAAATTCATTACTTGTGGGAAAATATTTGGATGTAATTTTCTAGAAGAGAAAACACTGTATTTGAAAGTACTACTTGACAAAAATTTTTAGATTTTTTTAAAAGATTTTTAGAGTTGTGTGTGTGTGTGTGTGTGTGTGTGTGTGTGTGTGTGTGTGTGTGGTGCATTTTGAGAGTAATTTTTCATTGATAAAAGTTTGGTTAAAGATCAAATGATTTCCGGTACATACTGAGGTATAAATTGTTCAATGTCTGAGTATTTTTAACTATCATTAGCCACCAACAAAAACTTGTTTTATTTTTATGCTATATTGGTGTCTTCATTTTCAAATATCACATTTCTGTGTGTATCCATAAAGAAATTTTATAGAGGTAAGAGGACTTCTATTACAAATTATTTTTTCCTGTTTATATGACATCAATTTGGCTAGTAATAAAAATGTTTATTACGAAATAATCCATACAAATAGGAAGGGTTTTTAAACATTAAAAATCTGCAGAAAAAAAATAGGATTTTTTTTTTATATAAATTTATCAAAGTAAAAATGGATAATCAAACTTGCTTATTTTAAAATTCTCCAGTTCAATAATAATTACAAGGAAAGGATATTAATGGTTATTTATACAGAAAGGCAAATTAGAGATCCAAGTTCAAATTTTCACTTTTTTTTTTTTTTAAATACTCTTCCTACAACCAGTAGAGCAGGACTCAGGTCTCTAGCCTTGGGTGGCAGCCAGTCATATAGAACAAGTGAATTCAAAACTACAGAAAAGACAACAAGAAAGCCCTATCTTCCCCAAAATGTCATGATATACAAAAAAAAAAAAAAAAAAAAAATTAATTAATACTTGTATTTCCAAAACCAGTGGATTTATTCTGCCCAAAACCAAACCCAGCTGTGGCCTGGCTGGTTGGGGTGCCAAACAAACTTGTACTTTGCGCTGGTTGCTGCTGTTGAGGTTGTACCAATTGCTGTTGCTGCTTTCCCTTACGACCAGCCATGTAGTCTTCTAATCGAAGTTCCTATAATCAAAATTTTCACATTAAAAGATGTTTAAAAAAAAAAAAAAAAAAAAAAACAAAATAGTGGGTGGATGGTAATATATACAGAATGCAATGGGTAAATTATCACCATTTTATATTTTTAATTTCATGCATGCACATTGTTTATTTTTGATTTAGTTAACTACACAGTTTAGTAGAGTCAGTTGGGCATCGCCTGTGAGAAAAATTCACTTGGCTAGAAATTTGGAAATCTGAGGACAGTGCAAAGGATTCAGAAAGAGTTGTAGAAGTCTAATGGCAATTATGAAGGTGTTTGGAGTGATCACTAATGATGGCAATGTTATGCCTCCAATTAGGGCCTCATACTCAACACAGCAGCCTACATCAAGTGACTTTAGGAGATAGTGCTACTCTGAGTCAAGAGGGTGGCTGCTGGAAGACCCTATATCTGGCAACAGGACACTGCACCATGCTGCACAAGCAGGAGAAACCAGTCATTGCTGTCAGATCATCCCTTACATCTGGCCACCTAATTCACCAGACTGCAACCACCTTGATTATTATGCATGCTGCGCAGTTGAGCAAGAGACCAACAAAACTCCTTGTAACACAAAGATGAACTGAAGGTAATGATTATAGCATAATCCACCAACTTAAAATGAGACCGTGCAGAAGAGTTGCTGGAGGACATGGTTGAAGCCAATGGTGATTTTATTGAACACATTTACTCTAGTATTTAAAAATATTTTTGTGTAAATTTGGTAAATATATGTTAAAATAAGATGACAGTGTTATTTTCATTTTTATGTAATTTAGACAGCAATTTATCCATTGCACCCTGTATGTATGTATGTATGTATATATATATATAAATATATATATATATATAATATATATATATATATATATATATATATATATATATATATATATATATATATATAGATATATATATATATATATATATATATATATATATATATATATAAAATAGATATATATTAAATATATATATATATATATATATATATATCATATATATAAAAAATTTTTAAGTTTAAACTGTTTAAAAAGAGAAGTTTAAACTTTTTGTAAACAAAAACAAAGTTCTCAGAGAGAAAAGAAATAATGGAAAAGGAAAAAATGCAACAATAAATGAAAAAGTTCAAAAAATTTATCTATTAGATTTAAAAGACATTTGTTCAACAAATAAATCTGTTGAATTTATAAATAGACTAGACCATCCATAAATCTGTTAGCTACCTTTTAAAAGCAGTTCATGATACAAAATGATGTAACAATATTATCAATTTTATTAATTACACATATTTTAATTTGTATTTGCAATACAAGTTATTGTAATAATTATTACTCACATTATACAATTTTAGTTTGATCAAATGTAATAAACTAATAATTATATTTTTATTACACATACTTGTTTCTTCCACACATTACAAAATACATAAGGACAGCAAACCAGCTTGCTTCTATTTATTTACTATCAAGTTATCTGACAATTTTCCAACCATATACATTACGTTTTACTATGACAGACCCACATAACGTCTTCACCTATCAAGTACTTGCCAAATATCCAAGATATTTGTTTATAAAAAAACAAGTTATGTAGCCTAGTGAATTGTATATGTTGTATTATGTATATTTAATAATGTTGTTATAATGTATTACAATTGTTTATTTTTTAGACATATAATAGTTGGAATATAATATGCAAATGTTTGTTTATATCCAGATTTATATAAGAATGTGTATTGAAAACAAATACTGAATTCCCTGTTAAAAATGTCATAAAACAGGAAAATGTCCTTAGCTCAAGAACCCCTTGCCTAATTTTAGTGAAATTTGGCACTACACTTGCCAGGGGTTCAAGGTACAATATGCTCCTAAATTGGTCGGGGTATTACATATTGTTTAAGCTGTATCTCAGGAATACATACAAGATTAGAGTCTTAGTATTATATAGATTGATTAGCTTTATGACACATCAACCCAGATGGATCATTTAATGCCAAAGAAGGTTTTCAGTTTTGGGAGCAGAAAATTTTATAGGGAAAAATTTGAGTTTTTTTTTAGTTTGGAAATTGGAGATGATAAAAAAATTGGTTGTAAAACAATGTAGGTAAGCAGGTTTGGTAAAAAATTTTTATATTTTCCTATAGAGCCTAATTTCTTTTATGAAATTTATGATATTACTTGGATCAGTATTTTCAAATAGGTCCTTTAAGTTATCCGATTTGTAGTTGTTTTAGGTTTGCTGAAAGTTACAGCAATTTAGTAGTATGTGTTTAACAGTGTATGGTTCCTGGCATGGGACACATACTGACAGTTCCTCATTGTTTAGATGTTGGCAGGTTATGTATGTATGTCTTATATGGAGTCTGGCTTATGCCACCTACCTCCTTCTCATCTTTCTGTAACTTGGCCATCTTTTATTAATGATTGGTTGGATGTTGTGTAATTGTTTTGGCAGTTGTTCCATAATTGCTGCCATTTTTCTTTAATGGTCCTGTTTATGGTGGGTCAGAAGTCAATGTGTGGAACCTTTACATTTGAAAGAGCCATGTTCAGCAATTCCATTGCCCTTTTGCCAGCTTTTCCATTACCTTGTATGCCAATAGGGCTCAGTATCCAGCCTAATACTATTACAGTATGTTGTTTTCCTATAAATAGTGTCAATACTGTTTAATTATTTATTAAGGTATTTCCCATGTTTTTATTCTTCAGAACTGTGAGTACAGATAGTGAATCTGAGATGATTGACCCACTGGATTCTATAATATCTAAAACCAAGTGTGTAGCTGAGGCTTCTGCACTGAAGATTGCGGGTTTATCAGGCAATCATTTCTGCAGTATTATATTGTTAAAGATTGCAGAGCATCCAACTGTCCATGATTTTTAGAGCCATCAGTGTACATAGGTACCTCCACGAAATCGCTAAAAAAAGAGCATAGCTTGATGAAAAAGACGCAAACCTTGCCGAAAACAAAATTTTATTGTCTAAATGCTTATGTTATGATGAAGAGGAAAGACCAAAGTTTTTTTTAATTATTTTTAAAAAATTTTCCTTCTTTTTAGAACATTCTAAATTTTGATTAAAAAAACCTTGTTTCTATTTGTATCAGCGGAACTAGTAAATAACATAGACAATTTTTAGCACGTTTTTTTTGGTATGACACACATTAATTTGAAAAATCGTGCAAAAATAGAAATAATTATCGGATGTTAATGAAACTTTCAGGAACTATTCACAGATGATCGAAATTATTATAAATATGTTTTTTTTATGTATTAAAGTCATGGTAGAAATATTTTTTTAAATATTTATTACCCCCCCCATAACTAATTTTATGAAAACGCTAGAAATTCGATCGCATCGGTTTTAGTGATTACAATAATTAAAAAGCACAGGGCTTTGAGGAATGCAAATCATGTTTTTTTTTTTTTTTAATTGGATACGCAGTACCTGAAAATCAGCTCTGAATTGTAACATACAAAACTCAATAAAACAAATATATTATTTAATTTCAAATGCTTTTATTTGCTTTTAGTTGTTTTTTGAATATGGACAATATTTTCTGAAAGCAAAAAAAATTTTTTCGATGAAAAATGAATTTTTAATACAATTATTTGTTATTTCATTAATTATAATAGATTTTACATTTAAGTTGTTAAAATATTATAAAATTAGTTAAAAACACATCGGCTTTCATAAGTGTCCTTATGAGATAGATCTTTTTTTTAGCGCGTTGTAAATTGTATCATTTTGACTAATCAGAAGATCCCCAGTAATTAAGAAATGTAATTTTGTGCTTATAATCGAGCTGTAATTATAAAATACGGAAGACCAACCAGAATATAATTAAGTTGCGTTATTTGAGTTAAAGCATTGTTCTCCGCTGTTAAGGCCTTTACTTTTTTGCGAAACACGTGTGGAGAAGTTAATTTGATTTTTCAATTTCAACTGAGAAGGGTACCTACAAGTATCAGTATCATCTTATGAAATTTATATGATCTTATTTTTATATTAATCTCAGTTTTACGACATTTTTCCATAAATGAAATATCAAAATTAATAATAAAATGAATGCAAATACAAATAACAGTAGAATGTAATAAATGTACATAAAATTATAGTATTTTATGTACAATTCTGATAAAATTTCATAAGAAAGGTACCTATAAATTAATTAGATACCTTTCTTAAGAAATATGAAATTTAATGTCACTCTTAACAGTTTTATTTTAATTTCTTTACAATATATTTCCCATAAAGCATCATAAACGTAAAGGTGAAAGCTAAGTACAAAAAAAAAAAAAAAAAGACCGCTGAAAGTTTTTGTTAAAAATAACGGGGTAAATAATTTGTTCACGTAAATGTAAATTATTTCACTTTTCTCCTTCTGTAGAACAAATTAGCCTCATGGAATTCGTAAATATATCATTCATCACATGTCAAGAGACGCGAAAGTTTATGACCTGCTTTGTTTTATTTTCAAATTACATCTTTTTTTTTTTTTAAAAGCTAAGTTAAGTTTGGTTCAAAATATTTTAAATAAACATTATAATTTCTGATTTTCTTAAAATAAGTTTTGAAAAAATGATAATTGATATTTAAAAAAAATTTCAAAGTCAGATTTCCATTTTTTTTTTTTAAATGGAAAAAAAATGGTCAATTTTGCTGACTCAAAAAAAAAAAAATATTTTTAACGAAAATTTCGGACGTGCTAGGAACGATTAAAAAATGGAAAAAAATACCCCAAAAATACTTTGACCTTTCCTCTTAATAATAACAAACATTTAGACGATAAAATTTTGTTTTTCGTCAAGTTTAAATCTTTTTCATCATGCTATGCTCTTTTTTTTAGCGATCTCGTGGAGGTACCTAAGTGTACATATGTTCATAATTTGGGTGTGCTTGTAGAACATTATGGATCTCTTCCAAGTAATCAGATAAGTTAATATTAATTTTAGGGTATTTAGTAAGGTTTAGCAGTATCATAGGGTGTTTCATTAACCAGGGTGGGTTTTTCGAGTTGGTGGTTTTATAAATTATTGTTGGATTAATTTGAGTTTCACTGGTGAGATTTTCCATGTAAAGGCCAAAAGGTTTGATAGCATTTTCTTTTTTATCAAATAGATTTTTGTATTTAGGGTTAAAGATACAGTGGTAGGCAGAGTTAGGCAGTATTTAAGTTTTAGATAATACTGTAGAGACAGTTTTTCTAGTCTCAATTTTAACAGTGCTTCATGGGCTTCGGTGTATAAGCTTTCTATAGATAATGTTTTGAAGCCACCCAGAACCAATCTTAATCCTGCATGGTGGATGAGGTCAAGGTCTTTTAGGTAGTATTTCCAGGTTAACCCATATATCCAGTCCAATTTGGTTCTTATTAGAGTTTATATAATTTAAGGAGCAATATTCAATCTGCTCCCCAGTCAGTGTTAGTCACAATTCTTAGTAATTGTAATGCATTGAAGCATTTGTTTTATTTGTTTTAAGTGGGGGATGTTTTTTTACACAAATGATTACCAGAAATTTATGCTGGTCAGTTTATTTCAATTTCTGTTCTTTCAAGTCTAAGAATTGGATCATTGTGCATTTTTTTTTCAGATTGCAGAAATTGATACACTTTGTTTTGGTTGGAGAGAATTTGAAACAGTTTTCGATAGTCCATCAGTTTAATTTATTTAAGCGCACTTGCAGCTGTCATTCTGCAGTGCGCATATTTTTTTTGGTTGTCTACATATAATGAACCATCAACTCCTTGATTTAAGCAATTAACAAACTTATTAATTTTTATGTTGAAAAGAGTTATAGACAGAATGCAACTTTGTGCTTGTGGAACTCCTCCTTGGATTTTGAGATCCAAGAGAATTAATCCTACACAAACTTTGAAAGTTCTGATAAAATGTTATTTATCAAATTGGGCAATCTGCCATTTTTATAGGGTATTTCATTATTCCATGTCTCCATGTTTTATAGGCCCTTTCTAGATCACAGAAAATGGTTATTGTGTTCTTTTTTTAATAAAAGAACCTCTGATGAATGTTTCTCAGCAGAATATGTTGTCTATGGTGCCTCTTATTTCAGAATCCACTCTGGAGGTTGGTAATTAAACCATCAGTTTCAAGGTACTAGTTCAGTCTTTTATTCACTATTCTTTCTAGGGTTTTGCATATGCAACTTGTTAATGTTATGGGTTGGAAATTTCTTGGGTCTGATTTGTCTTTATCTGATTTTGGTATAGGGAGTAGCTTGTTTTCAGCTATTTGGGAGTTTGCCATTAAACCAATTCTCATTAAAGATGTTTAACAGATATTTCAAGGATTTTGTGGGGAGTTGTTTAAGAAATTCATAATGAATTTCATCTGGGCCAGTAGCTGTATTATGTGATTTTGCTTATGGAATCTACAAGTTCATTTAGGTAAAAGGTTGGTTGTAATCTTTTTTTGTTGTTCAAGTGCAGCTTATTTTTTTTTTCCTGCATCTTGCTTACCTTTTTGGAATTGCCATTTGTAGTTTTTGCTGGAGGAATTTTGTTTAAAGGTTACTGCAAGTAGATTTGTTATATCTTTTTTGCTTGTTATTTTTTTTTTTTAGAAAGGTGAGAGATTTTTGCCAGCAATTTTCTGTATCATATTCCACATGTTTTTTGATTTGGCTAAGGAGTTTATTTTATTTATGTAATCTCTCCATGATATTCTTTTAGCTTCTTGGTGGTTCTGCATGCTTTTGCTCTATTTAGTTTGAATAGATTTAAATTATGGGTTGTAGATTGCATATTAAATGTTCGTATTGCTGCTCTACGTAATCTTATTGCAATCTTCATCAAACCATGGTCTGATGTTTGTTTTAGTGCTTTTTGGTAAACATTTTCTTGCAATTGCTATTAATGTTTCAGAAAAATATTCAATAGATTTTCTTTTGTTGTGTGTCAGTTTTTGACAGTATTGGTCTTTATATTCCCCCCAGTCTGGTTTGTTTAGACTCCATTGAGGGAGATGGTTTTCAATCGGTTTTGAACTCTTCAGTATAGTTGGGTAATGATCATTGCTGCATGAATTTTTTTTACTTTTAACTGTAGTCCATAAAAATAATTTATTGACACACAATGATAAGTCAATAGCCAAGTATGTACCTGATGCAGGATGCAGATATGTGTTAGACTTATCATTTAGTAAACATAAGTCATTGTTTTTAATTACATTTTCCAGGTTGTTCTTTTTGTCAGAGTTCTTGGATCCCCATATAACACTGTGACTGTTAAAGTTGCCTAATAATATTAATGGTTTTAGTAATTGTTTTATTAGTTTCCTTAGATCAGTTTCTTTTATGAGGTCATGAGGTGGGATGTAAATAGAGCAGATGTTAACGGTTATATGTAGGGTAGTTTTGTAGCAACTGCTTGTAGATTGGTTTCTAGAAGTATTTTGCTTTGGGGGATGCCATTTCTGATCATGATTGATATGCCCCCAGATGCCCTTTGTTGAGTGTGATGTAGTTATATTGAATATATTTTTTTATTTTTCCATTTGGTTTTAGGTAAGTTTCTTGAAGGCAAATGACGGTGGGAAGTCGATTCCTTATGAGTAGTAGTAGTTCATTTATTTTTCCATTTAGGCCTCAACAATTCCACTGTATAATATTTCCATCATCAGTATTAGGGCATTATGGGTTTTTGCTTCTCCAGTTTATGTTTAGTAGGTGAAGTATATATAATTTCTCTGGTCTGTTAGGGCTTTGTTTTTTGTCATGTTTTGTTCTTTGAAGGTCTTTTGTTTCTGCTTGTCTGTTTGGTCTTGTATGATTTGTTTTTCCATTAGGTTATTTTGGTAATCTTTGGATGATGACTGTTCCCTTATTTGAGGCAAGATAGAGTTTTGTTCATATATGTCCATTTCTCTTGGTTTTTCAGTGATGTACTGGGTGGTGTTATTTCTTTCATGAACCTTTTGCTTCTCTTGTGAATGTTTAGAGGGTTCTATTTCTGGAAGGATTTTTCTACTATGGATTGGGATTTCAAAGTTATTTGTTTTGTACTTATATAGGTCTCTCCACTTGGTTGCATAAAAAACAACATAATGAAAAAAGAACCCAAACTCAATAAAAACAGTTTTGTTATCAAAATGTTTGTTATTATTAAGTATTTTTTTTTTTTATTACTTTTTGAAATTTTTTACTTCTTTGTTGAATATTGTAAATTTTGTTTAAAATCTTTTTTTTTGTTTTTAAGTCAGCAGTAGACCAAAGATAAAGGTTACTTTTTATTTTGTGTTTCTTTCAGTGAAAAACGATTTGGAAATTCTTGCAAAATTCAAATAATTGTTGGATTTTAATGAAACTTTCAGGACATATTCAGAAATGAATGAAATTATTTAAAAAATTTTTCTTTTTAGAAAATCAGGGTAAAATTTTTTTTTTTTTTTTACATATGTTATCACACACTTAATTTCATGAAATTGAGAAATTTTTAAAAGGGCAGGGATTTAAAGGACTCTTTGGAGAAAGTAAATCAATTTTTTTTTTTTTGTAAAAATGTTACCTCTTTCATCAAAAATCTGCTCTGAATTGTAAAATAAAAAATGAAATAAAACTACATTATTTAATTAGAAAAGCGTTTAATTGCTTTTGTAAATAAGTTATATTAAGGACACTATTGTCTGAAGCAATAAAATTTTTTCAATGAGTAATGAATTTTTACAAGAATTTTTTCATTTTTTTAAAATTTTAATTATAATATAATAGTTAAAAAATTGTTTAAAATTCTTCATTGCTTTCAAGATAACGGTTTGGTGATATTGTTAAGTGAAAAGTACATTTACGAATCAAAATTTGAAAAGCTCATAACAGTTGTTTGTACCCAAATATTTTTAAAATAATTTTTAGTGGAGGAAAAAAAAAAAAAAAAATACCTCAAGACTTTTGTCTTCGTATTCTTTCATGGCAGAAATACACTGATGCCGCGTGCTTATGTTATTTGTACTGCCCCCTTTGACCATTGTATCTTGACTAACAGGGGGCTGGAATTTTGTGCTAGTACCAGTTCCAGTTGGTCCAAACACTATAGAAAAAAAGGTCAAATCAGTGTATTGATATATGTAATTTTCAAAAAGATTGTTAACAATAGTAAGGAATAAGCATTATATTTGCATATAAATTATACAACTGTATATTTACTATTTTTTGCATTTCATTTTTGAGATGAGTAATTGTCAAAATACTTTATTTGGAACTATTGTTCTCAGTTAGTATAGTCAAGTATATGACCAGCATCAGGTGTCCATTATTTAGCTGATATGGGCAATCTGTTGATTATTGCATCATTTTGTCACTGTGATGCCAGTTCTTGTTTCTTCCTGGTGAACCAATGCCAGAGAACACTTGGTTGAAACAGTGCATCAACAATAACATTTATAATAGATAAGATGAGAATAGTTCAAAATAAAGTATATTGACAATTATACATCTAAAAAATGAAAGACAAAAAATTATCAAAAATGGTACAAACCCATCATAATAAACAAATATTAAAACCATCTGACATTGAATATAAAGAGTCCAAAAATACAGCATTGATGTCCTTCAAGACATATCAACCAAATAATGCATATTTTCTTATTATTTATTAAAATCTGATAACATTCAGCCTTGCAGTTTTACATTTGAGAAAAAGTTTATTTTTAGTTTATAATTTTCAGCTACTAACTTGTATTGGTCTGTCCAAAAATAGTTCCTGAGGGTTGGTTTCTAACAAAGAGATTTGTACTAGGTGTGTTGGTTCCAAATGCTGAAAAAAAGAGAAAAAAATTCAGAATTATTTTATAGAAGGTAAAACCATGTTTATTCAGAAACTGATGCATGTAATCCATTGCTAAAAGATGGCAGAAAAAGGCTTGGTTCATTCTACTACCCCAGAATGTGTGACTCCTTCTGTTATGCTATGTTTTTACAAGTATCAGATTAGACCAAAAACTGAAGTAATGATACCATATCTGTGCTGGAGCTGCATAATTCTTACTTTCTAGTCCTGATAGAGTTCAAAATTATTTATGCAGTCTTATAAATGACTCATTTTCCACTCTATAACCAATTTCCCCCACAGACACAATATTGTAAGTCCATTACTACTTCCATGACAAATGTTCAGGCATGCTCCACTTCAGACTTTACAGCTAAGACTTACCATGTTACATCCACAGAATTTAATTGTCCATATTCTCTCCATGTCCATTTGTAAGAAGGTCACACAAAGTTTTTCCCTAAAAACTGCTACTTTGTGGAACAGTCAAGGGTAAATCGTTATCTATCCTTATAATTGTTACTTCCTCCTACCTCCAGTTTCATTACTATCTTACACACCAACTATTTCAAGTGGCTCTTGGGCCTTTTATTGGGTGAACTTTAGTAAAAAGAAAACAAATTTCACCTTTAAATTATACTTTTTGCTGACTACCTTAGCAAAAGGAGTAAAACTGCTAAGAGCCACACAAGATAGGTTGTGGAGAGCCTTGATCACCTATGGCTTAAAGGGATGTGGCACATAAAAGTAAGGTTTTATAAGGGTAATCTAGAAGTTAACTACAACTCACAATACCCCCCCCTTGACCCTATAGCAGGGGTGGCCAAATAAGGCACCCCGATGACTCTTTTCTTTTATTCTTTCTCCTCTTTCATGTATTATCATTATCTTATGTATTTTTATTTTCTGCCTTTTACAGATTGTGCAGATTAGTGATGGAAGTATCAGAGAGAAATGTGGAAAATGAAGTATTAAGGACTTGGAATACCATTCCAGAAAATTTTGTCTGTTTAAAAAAAAATTGCAACATCATTACTATCAATGTTTTCATCTTCAGATACTTGTGAATTTTTGTTCTTAGTGACGAACTTTAAGTTTCATAATATGAGCAGCCCAACGAATGAAACAAGTAATGCATGAATATCTTTCAAGGTTACTAAATATAAACCCACTATAAAATCTCTAATCAGTGATGCAGAAGTCTCACTGATAACATAAAAAGAGTCAAGTTTTCTGTCTAGTTTTATTTGAGGTTTTCTTTTGAAAGTGGCAAAGATTGAGCACTGTTTAAATGTAGGTTTGAAGGTAAATAAATACATTTAATTTTTTTTTATACATCATTTATAAGGGATTTAAAATCAGCAAGATATTTTTAATAACCTTTTACTGTGTTTCAGTCATAAAAATGTATAGCTGGGGAAAAAAAAATGATAATTGATTAATCAAAAGTATAACAGTTAACCTTTTATGTTGATGCTAATAATAGTTAATAGTGTCTTTAAATTGTGTGACTATGAATGGCAGTTACATTTATGCTTACAGGAAAATAAAAAATATCAGAAAAAAGACTTTCATAAAAAAATATGTCATAATTTTTTTTTTCATTCAGTCAGTTTTACATGATTTACATAATTTCTTACAATACTGTGTTTCTTTAATGCTCTGGGGTGATTTTTTTAAAAAGTTCTTCACTTATTTAAGAGATATTAAATAACATGTTCTCAAAATATTTTTGTTGGCACATGGAAAAATTTTTATCATATTTGGCTGGTTTTGGCATGCACTCTCAAAAATGTTGCCCACACCTGCCCTATAGCATCTAGCCTATTTTACTAGGCAATGCTAACTGGGTAGGCCAATTATTTGTGCCCCACACTACCATTATATTAAAAATGGAATTTCTAACCTGCTCAGTCCGTTGCTTTGTTGATGATGAAATGATAAAAATTCCAATCTAAATTGCTTGTTTGCTTAAAATACATTTATTACAAAATATATTCAGTTTAAATACAGAAGAGTCATAAAAATATCAACATATTCTCTTCCTGTTACCCAGGAAATGTTGTTGATAGTAAGGTAAATTAACCCTTGCATAAAAATGTCCAGGTGCATATGTATATTTTAATTCAATTACAGGTCTAACAATAATTCTAAAAAAAAACAAATAAAATAAAATAAATAAAAAAAAATTAGAAAAATTATTATAATTATTTCTGAAAAGTTCAATAAAATCTTATAATTATTCAATTTTTTAAGGTTTAAAAAAATTAATGGGTTTTCCACTGAGAAATTAGGTATACCATTTTCTGACCTCATTCCACTTGTCCCTTCTTTATCTGACTCCACTTTTCATAATTTAAGGGTTTAACCTAAATCTACTTTATCATGTAATAAACTTGACACTTAGTTTGTATCCATCTCCATGGAATGAAACTGAAATTGACATGTGTTAAGAGACCTAGTTTTTCTTTCTACCTGGTAAGAACTCCCTGCTATCAGGAGTATAAGACTGCCTTTTGAGGTCATATTTTCCTTTCTGCCTGGAAACAAGTTCTAGGTAAAGCCAAAATGTATAACCCATTGAAATCATTTTATAACTCCTCCTGTTGTGTAGGGGCTGTCCAGAGAGTGGGAATAGAATGTACTATTCTAATGTCTTTTTCAAACTCGGTCAAATTGTATATGTAGATGCTTGTACTGGTGTATAGATTTAATGGTGTAAATACATGTAAGTCACTCATGTACAAAACAGACACTCCCCTATACATTACATACAAAGTCACTCAGACAATGTGATAAACAGAGAATCAGCTCTTTTATAATATAGATTTATAAAGAATGTTATGTTTTGAATAGACATTCACATATTGCATAAATCATACATATTAAAACTCTCACAAGTTTTATTTAAATTAATACCAGAGAAAAAAATTAGAATTTACTTACACCCAAAGGATGAAATTGTAGTTTTTGCAAAAGCATTGCTGGTTGGTTGTGAAAATAAGCTGTTTCCTTGTGACTGTTGGCCAAATAAGCCACTTGATGTACTTGGAGTACTATTAAAAGCTGAAAGATACCAGGGTAATTTTTTTTTCTAAATTAGGATAAGTAATAAAAACATATAAAAAATAGAATTAAAAATTTACAAATAAGTAAAATTTTGATTTCAGAAATAATATTAATAAAAAAAAAAAAAATAAATACTCTGAAGTATTATTAGGAATTGGACATTTATATTTGAAATAAGTATAAGGACAATGAGAGCTCAAAATGAACCAAAAACCAAAACAGATCTATACTTCTCCCCCACCAACGACAGAAGAATCTGTCTATCACAAGAACAATGAATTGCTACAGTCTGCACTTGATTGACTTGTAAACTACACACTACCACCTAAGAATGAAACCACTAATTGGGAAAATTGTAAATTACTTGGTAGCTACCTGAAAAACTAGATAGATTTTGAAAACAAAGACACTTGCACTTCTAATTAATCAGAAATACAAAATCTTCAAATCAAGCATCATATGTCATCAATAGAAAATTAGAACATTTTCTATTTACATATCAAATTTGTTTCTGTACAACTCATAACACTAGAAAATTACAAGCACAGATGAGAAAAATATTAATTTCCAAAGAAAATTACCTAAAACTGCTTTCAGTATCTGTTGGCCTTGCAATATTCCAAATAGATACAGAGTATAAGACAAAATGTGAACCTTGGAGCAAAAACCATCAAAAGATTTATGTTCCTAGGACATGTAATGAGATTACAAAAAGAAACACCATTGAGAAAAGCCTCAAAAGAATGCTTCAGATGATAGAATAAGAAAAAATGTCATCCAGAAATTCTATGGCTGAGGACAATTAAAGCCAACATTGCAAATATAAATATTCTATTTGACATTACAGATCCAGTATCTTTCAACTGGAGAACATAACCTTGACCAGGTGAAGTTGACACCAACTGCAGAGATTGCTCATTCAATAATTCATTTTGTATAAGATTTAAAAATAGAAAAAATATATATGTAAATATCAGATTTCTTTTGCTGAAAGATAAGTTATTCCTATCAATTATTTTGACAGTATTTAGGTAGATATTAAAAAAAAAAAAAAAAAGATATTAGTCATTCATTTAATAATAGATAAATTAATAAACTTACAGAATGCAGAACTTGGCTGGACAAATGTTGGTTGGGTACCAAATAACCCTCCTGAAGTTGTTGTGGCTGGGGATCCAAATAAGCTTCCAGTAGATGTGCTCTGGGTACCAAAAGCTGGAGTTCCAAAACCTTCAGTTAAAGAAAATGCAAACATATAAAACATGTTTCATTTAAAATAATCATCAGGAACGAAATGACAATTGGTGAAGAGGATATATATATATATATATATATATATATATATATATATATATATATAAATCATTTCTGTCCGAGTTTCTGAGATGATGTGTTATTATTACTAACTTTTTTGTCCTTATTTTTAAACCATTGTACTTCTGACCTTCTTCAGGTGTTTCTCAATGCAGGTGACCATCAGGAAGTTTCAAACAGATCCCTTTATTTAATCTACAGGAGGAGACCATTCTTGTTCTGCTGTCCAAGTCTAGAGATATCTCATCTTATTTTGTACCACTCAGTAAATGCTTGCCTAATTTTCAGAGTTTAACCCTACCCAGTACAAGGATTGAACACACAATTACTGTCACCAAATTCATGAACCAAATTTTTAATTCACAAGGCTATCAATTCCAAGTTTAGAACTCAGAGTCAGAAAATAAATCTGTCTGTTGCTGCTGTACATCATGTTTGACTGTGTTCACTAAAATTTCTCTTTTCTTACAGCTGCCATTGTTGAATCTATTAAATGTCCAAAATCCATTCCCACAAATCCAAAAGGCAGGAAAGACAAGTAGTACAGAATTCAGAAATCACAAGTCCAATGTCAAAAGTCCAAGAGGTAAAATAAAATATGGTAAAAAAAAAAAAAAAAAACCCTCAGACTAACAGTGAACCAAAAAATACATTCACCTTGTCAAGTAAAGCAACAGCTTTTATTGAGGAGGTAAATTTTTCTATTGGTTTCAACAGTCAGGGAGGATTTAAAAAAGTAACCTTATGGGAGACAGTAATTATCTAAGAGTTCCCCCACCACCCCAGCAAACTGTGTACATGACACAAACTGTTTTTTGAGGTAGGTGATTTTCCCACATTTGCCACAGTTGTTGAATCCTTGCTGCCATTTTTCTTTATGAACAGCTCCCATATTGTATTTATTACTATGCTTATCCTACTCAACAGTATTAAATAAGAACTAGAAGATAGACATAGGCAGTGGGACAAGAACAATCTACCTCTGCAGATTAAATAATTGGCTCAGTTCAAAATTCCTTCTAAGTTATCTAGATTGACATACACCAGATGGCACAACCACCAAAACGTGATAAAAATAAAGAGAATAATTTGCATATAAATAGTATAAATACACTAATCAACTTTTTATTTTGTAAGCCATTGTTTTTAATTCAGACCAAAATATGTAAAATTTCTCCACGTACAAATTTTTTTAAATCTTAATTCTGATAGCTTACGAGCTGATAAAACAGGTATGCTCCCTCCAAATCCTATTTCCTATGTCTAATGCCAGTACACAAGACATATTCTAAGTGGAAAAAATATAAACACAAACAAAATTTGAATTAGGACATTTTAATCAACTTCAATGAAAAAAAAAAAAAAAAAAAAAAAAAACCCTTTTCACTTTCATTATAGATGAAAGCAAAGATTCACAAATCTTTACCCTTGTACACTCCAACCAGATTGGATTTTTCTTTGGTTCATATGTCATGTCTGTTCAAAATACAAATAATCATGGCTCTCCACATACTCCTTTTCCTTGTTTATTTGAAATTTCCAGAACTTAAAGAAAAATTATGGAGTGGCTTTCCATTGGCTTCTTGTAGATTAAAGTCTATTGCTCTCCCAGCAGTCACTTGTACAAATCACAATATCGCTGGTTCAATTCACCGTCCTCGCTTTCTTCACACATCACTACATATAGCCAACGTTTCTGTCTCTTTTTCACGGCTCCGGCACTCTTTTATCAGGCCAACGCCGCGGTTCCCCAGCCAATCAGCGTTCTTCGCCGTTATTCTCGGTTACACAGGCAAATTGCCTCCTCCAGTTTGACCAATCAGCACACGACTTGCTATTGGTGGAAGCATTCCAAACTGTACAAAAAAACCCTCATCCTTGCACATACTGCTAGAATGGCTGGACGAGAGAGTAATGCCATTTTCACAAAGCAAACTTGCTGATGTCACGTGCCGCACGTTAAGGTAAGACCCTTATTTTCCTATACACCAGATGCAAGGCACTCTGCCTTGCTTGCTTCTACGGGGCTGTTCACCACACTTATCTACTTTGGAAAAGGAGAGTAGTCCATCACTTCGACTGGATGCCATCAAAGGATGCCAAACCGAATATATCCTAACCCATACATGGAAGGAAGAATGCTTCATGCCTTTCCCAATGGCATTCATATAAAAATGGATGCAACAGATGAGGTTAGAATTTGAACATTGTCAATTCAATTAGTCACACATCCTTTTCTAAATTTGGGCTACAAGTTGCAAACCAAGATAAATTTGAAAGATTACTAAAATTTGAACTAGTCCAAGTTACACAAGTAGTGAAATCAAAAATTTACAAGTGTTGAGATTTCAAAAGGAACATAATCTCTTAACTCTACATCTGACTTTCACAGAGCAGAAAAATTGTTTTTATGCAAAGTTAAATTATATTTTAGAATATGATAGGATAAATAGAAAATATTTATAAATTTAACATGTTTCACTTTTATTAAAGCTTCATGAGACAATATGGAGGAAAAATAAAATTGAGTATTTTTATTTTTGTGCTTCTTGCTTTCATTTGGTTAAGTAAATCATACATTTATTTCCTCGTTTGCCAGCATTTGTGCATAATTCAAATGTGTATGTGTATCATAATGCTATGCAAGAATTGGTTGATAATTAATGTATGTGTGTGTGTGTGTGTATGTAGCTAGAGGGCATTTTTATTTTTGTCTGATAAAAATCCATGTTGTTGACTGGGGGAAGTTTTATGTGGGAGTGAAAAATTATTTCTTTCTCCTTCATATTTCATTTTCTGATGACACTTTAATAAAAGTGAAACATGTTAAATACATAATCGTTTCCCATTTGTCCTTTATCCTATCATTCTGATGTATATTTGATTCCTATTCATCATGTTAGAATATAAATGAAAAACTTACTTTGTGCAAAAGGTGTAGAGCTTCCAAAGCTAGCTGTAAAACAAATGAAATAAGATTATTAAAAAGCAAAAAAAATTACAAAAGGATAAAATGATTTTTCTATAGCTATACTTATATTCCTTTAAAATCTGCACAATGAATGTAGTACATGCCAGAAACAAATATATAAATGTATGCCTTGTACTGGGAGGCACCAATACTTCAACAAAAGTATATATCCCTGACTAAAACCAAATATTCCTGGCCAAGAAACACACCAAATGATAATGGTAGAATGAGCCATCATCAATGGTAGATATAAAGTAACCCTCTGTCAGGAAAATTGATGGACACAAAGTTACTCACTGAGGAGAAACTGACAACTCAAGCAAGGTTATCACTGAAAAAAAAAAAAAAAAAAAAAAAAAAAAGAAATTGAAAGATGGAAGGTAACCCCTTTAAGCTGCATTTGATTACTTCAGTGTTTCTTAACCTTTGTAAGCAATGACACAGAGGAGCAAATGAAAAATTTTCAAGGGTATACATTTAAAATGTTATGAAATAAAACCATAGATTTAAAAAAATAAAAAATATACACACAAATATGAATTTACCATATTTCAATGTTTCTATTCAACTATTTATGCAGTTTATTGAGTGCAAAACCAGCACCTGGTGTTTTTAAAATTTAAACTATTTAAAATAATTGAAGAATAATGAAAAGAATTATTTGAAAAAAAATTCAATACTTATTCATTTATTCAAATACTAATGTGCTACCATTGCTAATTCCACCCCACACAGACATATACACACATGTATGTGTGTATGCCGTAAAAATATTTTGCAGCACACTAGTGTGCCACAGCATGGCGGTTGAGAATCACTGGATTATTTGATCGTAATTTTGAATAGAAAACATTATTTAGAAGGAAATTTAGCATTCCCAATAGTACCCTTATACTTTGGGATTGTTCTTCAATCACAATACAAGATTGTATAACTTGGAAAAAAACAAAATTTAAACTTGATTGGTTAGTTCTACCTCTACTCACTATATCCACCTAATCTATGGTAACTGCAACTGTTTAAAAAGGATTGCTTTGATTATTAACCTAAATTAAAATGTGGAGCAGAAATAAAATGAGGTTAACAAACTTACATGTATCACCAAACCCAAAGGTAGCAGGTTTTGAACCAAACATTGTTTATCTAAAAAGAAAAGAAAAGAAATTTTATTACAAAAAATAAATGATGTGGGTTACTTCTGGCAGCGATCGAGTATCATCATCCGACCCTTAACAGAGCGTCATCATAAAGTCACTACATAGCTGAGCACCTGACCAGCCCCCACCTCCATGTCTTGGTCAGTACTCATGAGTAGCGTGTTTAGGGCAAATAGATTTGGTGGAGACCATTCCTGTCCACTGACTTGAATGTTCACCTTGGTCATGGATACATGGCCGTTGATTACACTGGTGGAACCATCCAACTGGCCACTGTCAAAGAGGCTTGCTACCCAGTAATGCCATGCCATCACTGTCCTGGATAAACCACCAGTGGTTTAGTCCCATGAGCATATTTAGCCTGCACTCAATCAAAACTCAGTGTAGTTTCTGTTACAGAAAAACTCCTCACTGTTGAGAAACTCGGAACCACTACATATGGTGTTTGCCAGAGGCAATGAACTAAGGGGGATTATATATATCTCCAAATGTAAAAGAACAAAGAATAAAATTGCAACATTCAAAACATCTATTTAAAACAGGGTTCAATACAAGAGTAGAGCAATAAATATTTATTATACACAATTACATTAGAACATGTAAGTTACTACAAAATTGTACATTTTGTAATAGTTACTTATATGTTCTAATGTAACAGTGTATAATATATAACTTTAAACATTATATTTAATGGATACATATAATGGAAACAACATCTATCATTTTTAAACAGTAAGTTTATGCACAGGCTAAAAATGAAAAAAAAAAAAAAAAAAAAAGCAAGGATGTCTACACAAACATATGCATGCACTAAATAATAATAAATAATGCAAGATCATAAATAAAATCTGTTATTTCCTTAGAAATTAGTTTAGATTTCAAATGTGAAAATAAAGTTAGCAGATATAGGCTTTGAGGGATACTAAGGGATAAGCATTTCTTAAATAGGCTAACTGAAGGTTGTGAATGTTGCCTATGGCAGAGCAATCTAAAGCACAGTGAGCTTGATAGTGGTTTGCTCTAATGAAAGTTCAAACCCTGCTGGAAAACAAATTCTTTTTATTAAGACTCTTGAATACACAGACTGATCAACACAAATTTACACCATGAAAAAAAAAAAAAAAAACACTGATGTCTACTCAAATGTGGATATTTAAAGTATTAAAAATAAAATCTATTTAATTCATTAGAAATTACCTTGTTTTGGATACAAAAAATAAAGTTTATTTATATTCAACTCCATTTAGTTGTATTCTGAAAACTGGAAAAGTAAAGTTACTTAACTATTCAACTTTTTACTACCATGTGAAATGAGCCAGTTCTTTCTTTATACTAATGTTCACCCAATAAAGCTCAAGGATCACTCAAAATAGGTTGTTGAATGAGGTGTGTGATATGAACATAGGAGGAGGAGGAGGAAGAAGTTAGAGATTATGAGAATATGGAGGATAGATAATGACTGGCTCTAGACTTGAAAAGTTTCAGATTGTAGTGTTCAGGGAAGCATCCACATGAGAGAGTGTTCCATATAACAATGGTACATTTAGGAGTGGAATATTCTTCTTACCAATGGAATACAGAAGGAATGAGGGGGATTCAACTTTGGGCATAGCGAGGTAGGTCTTGGCTGTAAAGGTCTGAACTGATAGCACTAAAAACAGGGAAGTGGCAATAGGCCTGTGACTTTTCATATGTGGGAGGGGTTGCAGGGTGGTAAATAAGTCATTTCCCACAAGACCACAGAAATGATTTTGAAATCTGTTGTTGATTCCAATATGCAGGGTAATGACTTCCAAGAACATCCACTGCCCAAATTTATGGATAAATGCTATAGATGCATGCTGGGATTTCTTCCTAACCAGAAATAGACAATTCTTGGTCTCATCCCCACTACATTTTTTTTTCTTGAAATCAGAACAATATAGCCACTTGACTGTATCCCTTTTGTTTGTGAACACAATTCTTTCTTTGTGGACTTTTTACCTTATTGTGGACATGAAAGTGAGACTAACCTCAGCTCTTGACATAAGAGGGTTCGTTTGTGTCTGGCGTGCAGGGCAGTAATTGATCCGAAGGAAGAAACACCGCCATTACGGTGAGTTGGACCTATGGGAAACGCGATCTCGTAGCTGCGAGGATTGGCGAGAGGTGAACTTGGCCGTATGCAAATTGGTTGGTGTTCGCTGGCATAAATGTGATGGCGGGAGACCACTCGAGAGGGTTGTGCGTAGCAAACTACGAGGCGGTGTTTGAATAATTGAGTGGAAAGATCAGTGGAGTTTTGTAGCTAAATTGTTTTGAGCAACCTGTCTTGAAGCTGAGAAGTTTTGTTTCTTCCGGAAGTAGGCGGTGCCGGGCCAACAAGTTCCCTTCCTATTGTTTGGTCCTAATTTTACTTACACTTATTAGTCTGCATTGCTCGGCCTAGTTTTAACTCACATTATATGTACATATATTTTTTGCTGAATATTATTTTTGTCCTGTTCTTTTTCTTCCACTTCTTATTGTCAAGAACTTTGTCAATTACACTTAACCATAACCAATTACTCCAAACCTGTCTTGTGGTACATATACAGACCTCATGGGCTTCAGAAGAACGGCCATTACCAACAATCTTCATGGACCTACCAGAGACAAACAACTTGATAATTGCAAAGATTTCTTGAGATGCCATAGCTAAAGAATTGATGTAGTAGCCACCTATGCTACACCTTGTCAAAAACTTTTGAAATATATAAAGCAATCACTTTTGCGAAGTATCTCACTGATTGTGTGTGTAACAATAGTTAAAACATCAGTAGCAAACCTAGGAGTGAAATCCATAGGGTTTGTTACTCAGATGGTTGTTTCTGGTGAGGTGATAAACATTATTAATAAGAGACTCGAAGCATTTGCTGATGATACTAAGGAGGCTGACAGAACAATATTGCAATGGGGACAAGCACTTACCCACATTCCTGAAAACAGGGTATACAGCCGACACCTTCCATAACTTGAAAAATATTTCTCCTTCAGACGGAAAGTAAACAATTTTGCTAAGACTGGAGACAACTCTGGATTAGAGTTTTTAAGAACAACTTCAGAGAAATTATCTAGACCAGTAACATTTCTAGTGTCAAGGCTTTTTATAAGTCTATACACTTTCTGAGATGAGAAAGAGAAATCACAAAGATTGTAGTTTTATGAGAGCATCAAGTCAGGTAAGCCTTTACCTTTGTCATATAATGTGAAGTTAGAGATAAAGTTCATTATAAAGAACTTAAACTTATCTGACAAAGATGAAAGAACTTCAGGGTCAGTTATAATAATAGGTATAGATGGTTTGATTCTGGTAAAATTTCATTTGTTCCCATGATGTCTGGAAAACCACAGAGTCTTGTTTTCATCTTTGACTTGGACTGACTATGCATAACTAATCTTAGCATTTTCAAGAACTTTCTTGCCACTTAACTGACAAGATGATCAAATCAAAATTTTATATTTTAAATGAACAAACATTTATCACAAAACATTCATTTTGAATACAGGACTCATAAAAATAACTTAAACCACCATGCATTTCAGTTTATACTCTTTTCCTGTTACTCGTAGAAAGATTTTCCCAGATGTAAACACTAAGACAATGCATATGTATCCTAGAATCTTTTCAAAAAAAGAGGAAGGTAGTTTGGAACAGAGAATTCATTGGTAACAATAAAAAATGTAAATTAGTCTTGCAATGTGCTAAGATATCTGGAGAACATTTCAAGAGAAAAATTCTATACTACAGAAATGCAGGCATGACTATAAACAAAGACAAATGTAGTTTTGACTGCAAAAAGATATATTTAAGATATCAAATATTGAAAGAAGGCATATCACCTGATGAAAGATTAACAAAGAAAATAACAGAAATAGCTCCTCCAACAAATAAAAAGGAGTTAGAATCCTTTTTGGGGACTGATAAATTTTTATAGTAAATACATTCCAAGATACAGTGACATAATAGAGCCATTTGCAAAATTACACAAGAAAAATAATGAATTTAAATAGACACAAGAGCAAACTATCGCTTTTGAAAGAGTAAAGAAAATACTGAGGAGCAAACTTATAATAAAAGTTCTTGATCCACAAAAAGAAGAAACATTAACCACAGACACAAGCGAAGAGGCATTTGCTGCTGACAAATCGCAAGAAGAACACCCAATCATATACATATCAAGAAGGTTAACACCAGCCAAGATTAACTGCTCGAATATTGAAAAGGAAGCATTGGCGATTATATGGAGTATGGAAAGAGCATGAAATTTTTTGGTAAGAAAGAAATTCTTAAAATTGGATCCCAAACCATTGGAATTCATGTTCAACCCAAAAAAAGAATTGCCAAAAGTAACATCATCAAGGATTTTGAGATGAATGATAAAGATCATGGCATTCTATTTTGACATAATGTATATTAAAGGGAACACTATCTTTCATGTAGATGCATTATCAAGATTGCATTTCAAGAATGAAGCTGAAGAAAAACAGGAAAAGGTGGGAGACAAAATAATACGATGGGTTGAAATGGACGTTCTTCCTCTAAATAGGCTCAATATAGCAACAGAGCAAGACCCGGTCTTAAACAGAATAATGGAGAGAATAAGAAATAATGTATGGAGCAATTGTTTGATGGCAGAGTGGACTTTTTAAAGAAACAGAGCACAAACTGACAGTATAAAATGGCATAATAAGCAATGTAGATAAAATTGTAGCTCCACAAGCACTGAGAAGGGATATATTGAAAAGAGTGCATGATGACATGCATTGTGGCATAATAGCGATGCAAAAAAAAAAAAAAAAAAAAAAAAAGACTAAAGTTACAAGCTTGGTGGCCAGGATATTCAAGAGATGTAGTCGAGTATATTAAGAGATGCCCAAAATGTGCGGAAATAAAAAATTACAAGCAAAGAAAAATTCACTCATGGCCCAAGGAAGCAGACCCATGGGTTAGGGTCCAC